AGGGAGACGAGCCGAGGCCAGCAGGGCCTGCTGTGCAACCGAGGGCTGATCATCGTGTGAATTTCCACACACACCCTCAAGATTTGGTAGATTTCAAGATCATTATGCATTGAAATTTTTCATAAAATCACAAAGGCTCTATTAATTAGTCCTTTGTCTATGCAAGGACAGTTATTGGTATATCTCAGTTATGAGAGTGGGAGAAATACACATTCTGAATCAGTGACATATTTGAATGATTTTTGAAAAAAAAAAATTATACGAGATTTCCCTTCTTTTCTTTCTAATATGCATTTTGTTGACTCCCAATGTCCCCTAGTACATATTACATCAACACTTCTAATCATGTAATGAAACACCCTAGTTCCAAAGGGATGTGTCTGACTTCGGTAGATTTTTACATAATATTTATTTTATTCAGTGTTAAAAACAATTTATAAAGCCTGAAATTAAGGATTTGTAAGAAGTCACACAAACATTAGCCAGTGATAAAACATTAATTTGGAGATAACTCCCCTCAATTACTTCTGAAAAAATCTCTTTTGTAAGTGAGGGTCATGAATAACAGTAAAATCAGCCAAAAGAATATATTTACTACATTTGCTCAAAAGGGCATTAATTGCAGTTAAGTGACTACTCATGTGCCTTTAAGATGACTTGATCCAGATCTAAGAGCCCTCACTCATGTCAGTTTATGGAGACACTGAACACTAGAGACAGGCTCCTGGCATGGAAACACACAGCCTGTCTTTCTTACATAAAGCCAAAACCTGTCCACGTTGGAGTTGGGAAATCAGACCTTTTTCAAAATGAAACCAAGTTATCAGACAGGCATCAAAAATTGCCTTTTATAAAACAATAGATTGTGTAAGGCAAAAAAAATGCCGGCAACCGTCCAACTCTATACCTTATTCGACTCAATAGAATGCATCACCAGTATTTTATGAATTTCTAGATTGATGTGCACACATCAGGTTTTGTTGAGATGTCCCATTATATTCACTGGGTTAGAGCATCATATTTTAACCAGTTCAGGAATAAAAACACACTTCTTCAGCATATTTCCTGAGAAAAACACTCCTACTTACTCGAGGAACTGGACCGGAGCTCCTCCTAAAGTGCTGCTGACAAACTTCCCGGCCCCACCAGCATCAGAAGCGTGCACCCTGCATGAACAAAGATTTAAATACCTTGACACGCTGTTTCAATAACCCAAAGCTAATTGACTGTTCACGGGCAGCCCTCAGAGGGACCGTCCCCATCCGCACTTGTTCCCTGAAGTAAAGTGTGCAGAATTATCTCCCCGTCCTCTGTGACCCAGAGAAATGCCTGCAGCTGTCTCACAAGGACATGCGGGCTCCACCTCAGGGAACACTGAGTCAGGTCATGAGCACTCAAGAGTCTGAGTAAACACTAAATTTAAGCTTGCCTTACGTAAAAAAATGTGTCTAATGAGAAGCATTTTGGCTATGAAGTGACCATACCTGTACTTCCCATAGAAGAAGTACTGAGCGAAAAGGAAAACTACTGACTTTTCATTAAACTGTCAGAGATTTGCTCTCTCACGATGAACAAAACGTTGTGTCTGAAGAGAGGCAAATACAGACAACCATGCATAGTTCTGCTGATATCATGTGAAGCTCCTCAGCCCCAAATGGGGAGGAGAAGCACTTAAAACTTCATGCAATGAGCAGGCTGCCATTCTGATGCTGATCTGAGTAGTCCTTGAAAGTGACAAGCCTCTGGGACTGCAGTCAGGATGGAAGTGCCTGTGTGTGGGAGGGGACATCATTTCAAAAGGAGCAGGGCCAGGATCCACATCAGGATCACAAAATGAACAGAGATGAAAGAGTCCTTCCTGGCTCTTCTAAGAACAGACAGCAATTGCAAAATAAACTCAGAGTATTGTCACAATAAATGTTAACTCTTTGGGGGACACTCTAACAGTCTGAAAAGAAAATCATTAAGGGCACATTAAATATAAACTACATGTTTGCCCTGGAGCACCTCGACCAATATACAAACATTCCATCCAAAATCCAGTAGAACATATGTTTTCCTCAATAGTAAAAGCAACATTCTCCATTATAAATTATGTATTAGGCCAGAAATAATTTCTCATATTATAAAGACTGAAAAAGATTCACGCAGCTTTTATATCAAAAGCTATATGAAATTAGTTGTTAGCTACAAACAGAGCACTTATAATTCACAAATGTGCAGTTAAGTAACAGGGTTTGGATCAAAGGAGAAATTGTAGAAAATAAAAAAAATGTCTTGATACAAATGGAAATACTATATACAAAATATTTATGAGATGCTGCAAAAGAAGTTTATTAACTACATTAAGAAAATGGATGATTTCAAAACTAAAGTTTTAAAATACCTAAGTTTTAAACTACAGAATTTGGAAAGTAAAGGAATACTACTCCACGATTAGTAGAGGAAGGTAAAAAATAAATTAGAGAGGAAATAAATGACCAGGAGACTAGAAATTTAATAGAAAATGTCAGCATAAAGACTGAATGAATTTTAGACCAGAAACAAAACTGACAAACCTCTAGACATACAAAATCACAGAGAAAGAAAGAAGACTAAAATGAACAAGATCACAAATGACATGACATTAAAGCAGATACCACAGAAATCTCAGAAATGCGAGTCAAAGTAATAGAAGAGGACTCAGAAATGCAAATTGAAGAGGTACAACAAAATTTAGAAAAATAATGAGTTAACAAATAAAATCCGTGAAAATCAAACTTTAAATAAGAAAATAACAGAAATTCAGGATGTCAAGGCTCAACAAATGAAAACAAGAAGTCTAAAGAAAGCTATGGAAGTAGAAAAGATGAAACAGAGGATTAAATCAGTCACCATGAAGACATTAATATAGTAAGGACGAGGTGAAAGAATAGAGAGAAAAAATAGAAAATAATGAAGAGATAATTTGAGAAATACCTGACACCTTTAAGAAAGCCAACATAAGAATAATGGATATCCCAGTAGGGCAAAGGCGAGTGAAGGGCAGGGGCGGGGGGGGGGGCAGAGAGCCTATTCAAGGAAATAATAACAGAAACTACCCATATCTGGAATTAAATATACCTCATGAAGCTAAAAAAAAAAAAAAAAAAAAAAAACACCTGGGTATCTAAATGCAATGAGCCTACAGCAAGACATAGTAGTCAAAGTACCAAATACTCAAGGCAAATAAGGTACTGAAGGCAGGTAGGAGTGAAGGGCAGGTAATGTATAAAGGTATTTCATCAGGCTTACATCAGTCTTCTCAGCAGAAATCTATAGCCAGGTGAGAATGGCATGCCATATTCAAATTATTCAAAGATAAATACTGTCAGTCAAGAGCGCTATACCTTGCAAGACTGTCTGTCAGATGAGAAATTGTCAACACAGTGGTAACAAATCAAATTCAAGAACATATTAAAGGCATCAAATGTCATAAACAATTAGAACTTATTCCAGGGTAAAAGGATGATTCAACATCCATAAATCAATCAACACAAATCCCCACATCAATAATAGAAAATACGAAAGTTTTATGACCATATCAATAGATGCAGACACTATCAGAAAAGATTAAACATCCATTTATGGTGAAAACTCCCAAATAATATGGATAGATAGAAAATATAACAACATAAGAAAAGCCATCTATGACAAAACCACAGCTAATATCATAGTCAACTTGAAAAACTAAAAGCCAGCATGCCTCAGCCTCACAAAGCAACCTTGCCCCACAGCCTCTGAGTGCCACAGGGATCCAGTTACACCACTTCCCTATTCTTTCCAAAGAATAAAGAATAAGGGATACACACACCCCATTCTTCATCGCACCACTATGTACAATAGCCAAGTTATATAAACAACCTAAGGCCCAATCACAGATGACCGGGTTACAAATGAAGCACATAGACAGAACTGAATATGATGCTAAGCCATAAAAAAAAAAAAAAGCTTGCCATTCCAAGCAACGTGCCTGGAACAGGAGGGAGTTCTGCTAAGCATAACTTAGGACAAAGCCAAAGCAAACTAACACTAGAACTCTGACTGTAGAGCTGAGGCTGCCAGACGGGAGGACGGAGGTGGGTGTCCACGGGAAAGGGACCCAAGGGTCTATGGTGGGGACTACGGTGCATGGGTGGTGGGCGTGGTGCAGCAGAGGACTATTAAAAGGGTGTGGGCTTGCACGTCTTATCTCACATGAGTGATGCTTCTTGGTTAGAGATTCTGTCCCTGTTGCACACGTAGTGCCGCTCACTCTGGTCTCGAAATTCTCTGTGCAAAGCGCTGAGAGCCTTATGCTCTCTGCCACCAAGATGGCACCTGCCATGACAAGCTCGTGTTTCTTGATGACGTCAACATCCCCTCCTCATCTTGAACTTCTGTCGCTGTAGCTAGAATACGGCTCAGCGTGGGGGTGTCTTGGTCTCTTCTTACGAGGAACTCTCTGGCCTTCCCCTACCTGGATGTGTGTTTCCTTTCCAAGATCACAGAGGTTTTCAGTCATTGTTCCTCAAAATAGTTTTTTCTAGTCCTGTCACTCTCCTTCTGTGATCCTCCTGATGTGAATAGCGTTCCTCTCACACCACAGGGGCCACTACACTGTCTTCATGTTGTCAAATTCTCTTTCATTCTGTTGTCCTGCCTGGGCAAGCTCTGCTGTCTCACCGCCCAGCTCACTGTTGCCCCCTGCGCCGTCAGCATGCTCCGGGGTGCCCTGGTGACTCTTCAGCTTTGTGTTCCTATGTGAATCTTCCTTCCGTTCACAGGATCACCATCCTCCCACGGCTGGTGGCATCTTTACAACCAGTAGCTGAAACTCTTCCTCAGCTTCTTGGTTGAGGCCCATTTCTTCAGGCTTCCCCATAGATTTGGCTTGCTTTGTCGCTTTTGGACATGGTCTCTGTCTCCTTTTCTGCCAGATTTTCTGTGGCTGCTCCTGTATGTTATCAACTCTAATATCTCTCTGCATTTGCTGGAATGACTTTGTGCAGCGACTGTGCCAGGAGTTCAGGACTATATTGCCCCACGGCCACCTGAACTAGGTGCTCCTGCTGTGCCCTGGGCAGGCCGCACTCACCCTCCTTTATGTCAGCGTGACGTGGCGTGTTGGGCTGCTGGCCCAGCGCAGCTACAGCAACATGGGCAGGCACAGGAGAGGTATCCACTGCACTGCTGGTTGGGTGGGGCTACGGGCCTCTACAGCAGATGTTGACTGCTTCTGAGGGGAAGGTAGGTGGAACCAGCAGCCCCTCCGGGTGCCCATACGCAGCTTGTGGTGTGGCATCACCCACCAGTTGTAGGGACTGAGCAATGGGGCGTGGCAGTTCTGGATGCCAGGCCCTCATGGGCAGAATTTCCTTGTGCTCAGGTGATGAGGTGCCAGGTGATTCCAGGCCCTACCTACCTGTGAAATGAGGTGGCTTCTCGCACCACAGTGGATACATTGCAGAGGTGGGTGGAGCTCTCACATGGACTTTCTCACACTGTTGAGTAGCGGGGGGTGAGGGGAGGGTGCAGGGGGATGCCAAGAGGGTGCCCCCTGGTGCTTGGAGTCACCCAGGTTGCATGAAGCCACCAAGAGGGCACCTGCCAGTGTGTCTGACCTGGGGATCATCCCAAACTTACTCTTTCTCAAGACTGGGAATCTTGGAAGTATGGCCCATGGGAAATGACTGAATACTGAGGTCAAAACTCCAGGAAACAAAAGTGCTTGAAAGATGTGGAGAAAAGGGGACCCCCATGCTCTGTCGGTGGAAACACATGGAACTAAAACTACCATGTGATCCAGAAACCCCAATCCGGGTATTTATCCAAGACATGGAAATAATGAACTTGGGAAGATGTCTGCACACCTAAGTTCCTCACAGCAGCACTCACCGTGGGAACATAAGGGCCAAATGGATGAAGGGATGAAGGAAGTGTGTTGCGTGTGTGTGTCTGTGCACGTGTGTGGGTGTGTAAGTATATATCTATATAATGTAAAACCTTCAAACTTTTCCTTTTTCAAATGAAATGCCACCACATGTGACAACATGGAGAATCTAGAGAGAGTAATGCAAAGGGAAAAACTCAAACAGAAAAAAGACAAATATCTATGATTTCACTTACAAGGAAATCTACACACAGAACAAACTGGACACAGAAAGAAGGTGGTCACCAGGGCTTCCCTGATGGTGCTAGGGGTTAAACACAGCACTATGAAGCTGTCTGCAGCCACTGCAGCATGAGTTCGATCCCTGGCCAGGGAGCCACCCACATGGTGCAGCAGACATCTCCTGTCTCCCCGCTGCTGCTCTCACTGTGTTTCAGTCCATCTGTTCTGTTCCCCTCTATGTCTCTGGGGAATCCTCTCATGCATTGCACCTCTGGCCTGCACCACAGTCCTTGGATGCATAAATAAATAAATCTTTTTAAAAGAGAGAGAGATAAAGGGGGTCACCAGGTGGAATGGGTGTGGATTCCTGGGTGAGTCCAGTGAGGTCAGAAGCTGTATCCTGACAGTTAACCTGGTGTGGGTTGGATGGTGATTGTGCACTGTGAACATTTCATAATGTATTTGAAGGTCTATCATTATGTTGTACTCCTGAATAAAAATGTTATACATCAATTATAACTCAATTTAAAGTTTACAAAACATTAAATAATGTATACTAATACATAGATATCTGAATATATTTTCACTCAGAATTCCAGGTGAGGTATTTAAAGCAAGCAATGCTTTAGGAACATCTTGAAATTTCCAAGAATTAAACACTTTGGAATTGCTATAATTGTGTTGATTACAATGATAGTTTTGATACATCAACTCTCAATACAGACAATTGCTTAAGGGCATCATGACTCCTGGTTCTGAAGATGTACATTTGGAAAGTACAATCAATATAATGATTACATAGGAAAACCTTATTTATCAAAGGAATAATCAATATCCATATTTATGTTATCATTGACTACAAAAGTATACGTCATTAAATGTTTTTAAAGGAAATTATATTTGATTACTAGGTACATGATTATGTGTTTTTATCCTGTATTTTCTCAAAATAACTCTCTTTATAGTTACATGTATATGTGTATCTGTACAAATACATCTTCTGTTCACTTTCAAAGCAAAAGGCAACCCTATTATGGGTTTATGGTAGACACAGCAAACTCCAATTCCTGACACTCTGAAAACCTTCCGAAAAGCTCTAGTGACGTCCTTGTTCTGCAGGCTGTAGATGAGGGGGTTGAGCATGGGCGTTATGATGGTGTAGAACACAGGGACCACTTCTTCCTCTACAGGGGAGTGGGAGGACTTTGGCAGAATGTACTTAATGATGGCAGCCCCATAGAAGAGGGACACCACGGTCACATGAGAAGAGAAAGTACCCCAGGTTTTCCTGAATCCCTGGCCTGAACCCATGCCCAGTGCAGTGAAGAGTATCCTCCCATAGGAGCGCAGAATGCCAGAGATGGGAAGGACAAAAAAAAAAATCACAGCAGTGACAGAAATACCCTTTTCATATTGGGAAGCGTCAGCACAGACAACTTTCAGGAGCGCTGGGACTTCACAGAAGAAATGATGAATTTCCCTGGAGGCACAATAACGGAGTGTCAGAGTATAGACCACATGGATCAAGGAATTGAAGAATACACCCAGCCAGCTCACAAGCACCAGGAGCACACAGACCCTGGGACCCATGAGTATGAGGAAGCACAGAGGGTGGCAGATGGCCGCATAGATGTCATAAGCCATGACCGTCAGCAGCAGGCACTCTGAGCCCCCAAGGGTGACAAAGAGGAACATCTGGAAGCTACACCCAATAAAAGAGATTCGATGATCCCCAGATAGAAAGTCCACCACCATTTTGGGGACAAACATGGAGATATAGAGGAGATCCATGAGGGACAGCTGGATGAGCAGAAAGTACATGGGAGTGTGGAGAAGAGGGTCGGCCCAGATGAGGATGATTATTATGGTGATGCCGCACAGGGCCACCAGGAAATCAAGCAGGATGAGTGTGAAGAGGACCCAGGGCACCAGGGTGCTATGGAACAGATCCAAGAGGAAAAAATCACTGCCTGAGGTCTGATTGTTCAGCCATGCCATGCTCATGCTCCCAATTTGGAACTTTGGAGTGTTCTTCAAAAGTAGTATATTTGCAGTCCATAAAAAAATTTTACCAAATCAAATCATACCCAACTTTCTCATATCTCAAATCCATTTATGTCCCAACTCTTCAGACTCAGTAAATCAGTATATGTGACTTTGATGAAGGATCTCATGAGATATCAGACTACTCCACACTGCAGAATGGTCAGATATGTTGTTAAAGCTTAATAGTTTAATGACATCTTTGTTATCAAAAGTTTTCTAGAAATTGAAAGTCTCAGGCAATCACATCAAGCTGCACTCTACCCTAAATATACACTGAAACACACAAGTCTATTTGATTCCTTCTGTAGTCATCAGGGGGATAAAGCATGTGTGGAAAACAGGGAGAAAATTTCAAGGTCACAATAAAGCTTTCATCAATTAAATCTTTCCACAATAATTTCCAATTAACTCCACAACTCTCATGTTGTAAAAAGGAATTTTTTTTTCTCTGAAGATTCATTTTACAAACACATAATTAAATAGGAATTTTGCTTGAAGCTGCACAGTTATACTGAGTCTGTGGATCTAGTCAAAGAAGCAAGCGCCTGGGGAGGAGAGTACAGAGCACTAACATGTGCAGACCTGGACACAGTGACTCTGGAAAGGAAGAGGGTCCAAGGGCAGCAGTTGGCACACATATGTGCCTGCAGGAGCACACTGCATGTGGGAAATTTGTTTCTGAGTGGGAAGCAAAGGGGACTCATTGCCCTACAGATGGAGGTGTAGCAACCTCAGGGCTAAAAGATCCCCAGGGATTTCTTTTCTCCTTTATTTTCTCTCCTTCTTGGTCTTGTTCCAACGTGAACTTAAAGCAACATCTGCAGTGATAAGGGCAGTAGAAAGCATACTTTCTTTTTTTTATTTATTTTTTTTTATAGAGGCATGTTTATTTATTTATTTATTTGTTTGTTTGTTTTGTTCATACATGCACTGGGTACAGTCAGAAGCGCGGGAGGGCGAGAGAATTCACCAGAACCAGAGCGGGGAGCAGAGCAGGCATAAGGACCGAAGCACACTGCTGAGGGGAGCAGCGGGCGGCTGGAGAGGACTGTGCGCCATGTGGGACCCTCCTCCGGTGGCCGGGGAGCAGCTGGGGATCGAACCGTGTCGCAGAGGCCGCGGGCAGCTTCGCAACCCAGCGCTCAACCGCTGCGCCACCGGGGAGGTCCAGAAAGCATACTTTCTGAGATTATTTTGGGTATCAGTTCCATGCTGAATGAAAAATGTTCATATTTTTATATTCATTTAAGCTACTTTTCTATTGGATAGGATGCAAATGAAAAACTTTCATGAATTAAAGTAATAATAACACATAAAAATTTTTCATATAAAATGGCATTGTATTAACTGATAGCAAGAGCAGCTATCAAGTGCAGTCAGTTCTGCTGACAACACTTGAATCCCGCTGTCAGAAACCTGCCACTGGTTTCTATGACACACAGAGATAGGAACATCTGCCATCCTTACCCTCACATCAGTCCTACAGAGAGATGATACGGAGCTCAGTGGGACCTGGTGTGGGTGAAGGGTTGATCATGGAGGGATACTTACATGAACACGCAATAGTCCCTGTGCTGAATTTCATAGATTCAATATTGTTATATGTAAAATAGCACATGAAGTCTTTAAAAAACAAGTATCATTTATATACCCAATGTACCAGACAAAGTGGTAAGTCTAGGGTCTTCTCCACCGCACTGTATACAAAATCCCCTGTTCCTCAGCCCTAAATTCTAAGGCAAATGTAACAGCAGAGCATTTATCACAAGGAGGGCCATGCGAGCTGGAGGTTCACGGAGAAGATATTCATGGGACTTTACATGCTCCTTATCTCTAGGAAAACAGGGTTGTCACTTATTTTGCAGCTCCAGAGAGAGCTAAATAATGCTTCCATTTGAAATAATAATTTTTATGGGATAATTGAAATAAAATAATTTTTACAAGGAATTTAACATTACACTTTTTTCTAAATACTTTTTTTTTACTTTTTTTTAGATTTATTTGTTTATTTATGCAAGCACTGGGTACTGTCAGAAGTGCGGGAGGGTGAGAGAATTCACCAGAGCCAGAGTGGAGAACAGAATAGGCAGAGTGATGAAATACACTGCTGAGGGGAGTAGTGGGCATAGCAGGAGAGGTCTGTAGCAACATGTGTGACCCTCACTGGTGGCCAGGGATTGAACTGTCGCTACAGAGTCAGTCTGCAGGCAGATTCACAGCCCAGTGCTCAACTGCTGCGCCACCAAGGGAGGCCCCCTAAATACTTTTTAATGGCCTCCAAAATTGTGTAACAGGTGCTGCTCAAAGCTTTCCTGAGTGGCATGCATCAATGCCAACAATGAAAAATGGTCAAAGACATTTTCATGAACAGTATTTTTATTTGCATTTGTATTTGTATTTAAATTGTGGTGCTTAGAGAAGCCCAGAAAACATTCTATGCATGTATATGCAAAAGTACATAAAAACACAAAGGAAAAAATAATTTATAGTTGGGCCTCCATGGTGGCACAGTGGATTGAGTGCTGCACTGTGAAGCTGTCCACAGCCACTGCAGTGCAGGTTCGATCCCAGCCAGCCAGCGAGAATCCCACATGGTGCAACGGACCTCTCCTGTCTCACCCACTGCTCCCCTCAGCAGTGTATTTCAGTCAGTCTGCCTGTTTCATTCCCCACTCTGTCTCCAGTGAATCCTCTTCCTTTCCCTCACATCTGGCCTGTACCCCGGTTCTTGTATAAAAATTAAATAAATCTTATAAAACAATATGTATTTGACTTAAAATCTGAAAAGTCTATCCCTTTAGAATAAAGGACATGAATAACTGAAATCAACCAACAGTGTCTATTGAGAGTAAGCCAAGGGAAATGTCATATAATTTTACTTAAGTGACTGCTCATGTATCTGAAAAAAAAATCATTACACATTTGCAACAAATTCATTCCCTCCGATTTTCAAAAAGTCTTTCAGGAAAGACTTTGAACACCAGAGAGGAGAGGCAGCTGGTATTTCCACACTTCACCCCTCTTTCTTCATAGAACTGACCACTGCCATGAAGACTCACAGTAATAAATTGCACCTATTTGAAAATAAAAGGAAACATGATTATCAACTCAAAATCAGAAATTGCCTTTCACGCAGTACTAGTACATAAATGCCAGTTCCAACATAACTAAACTGCTTACTTGGATGGAATAAAACTTGCTAATATTGATATTTGACAGATGTGTCATTAATTTAAATGGATGGAATTGTCTAAGTTGTCCCATTATATGCTAGGGAACAGCATCATATATTAGGCAACATAAGGAAACATACCACAATTCTCTTCTAGAGAAACACACTCCTACTTTCTCATAGGAAAAATTGAATGCTACTTACACAGTGCTGCCTGTACATTTCTTACTTTTCCCAGTACAGGACACACAGCCCGCCTGAACACACAGATTAAATACCTTGAAACCATTGCTTCAACAGGCCAGAGTCAATTTATCGTTGCACAAACAGCCCTCAAAGTGACTGTCCCCAACTGCAGCTTGGTCCCTCAGGCAAAGCCTGTAGCAATTATCTCCCTGTCCTTTATGACCCTGAAGAAATGGTTACAGATATCTCACAAATATGTGCAGTCTCTCCCACAGGAAATACACTTTGCTGATGTGATGTTTGTTCAAAACTTTCAGCAAATATCAATTTCAAAACAATAACTACTTGCTGGTTGTGTGAAAAACAAACTACTTATAAACACCACTAACTAATTAAAAAATCACTTTTAATCACTCCTTTACTTGTTATGTTGTAGTAATATTTTTTATGATTTTTGGCCATTCACACAAGCTAGGTTTGAAATGCTGCAAGTTGAAGGTGTGGCAATTGAAAGTGAAAACTCCTGTGATGGCAGTCTTTGGGATGAAGGTGCTTGGCTGGTGGTGTGGAACCACATTCATATGGATTAGGATCAGGATCCACACCAGGTCCTCAAGATGAAGAGTGATGAAATGTTCCCTCCTGGCCATGTGAAATAACCCAGAGCATTCTCATTGAAGCAAAGGCAAACACTTTTTGAGAATAGTCTTTACCTGAGCCTTAGCCCAGATGACAGACAGGTATTTCCTCAACAACTGCTCAACACACTTTGCTCATTCACCTCAGAATCAGGGAAGGCTACAATGCAATTTTGAAGGTCAGTCTTGGGGACATATATCCTATGGATGCCTAACATTATACCTAAGATCATAGGCTAACCTCCACATACATACCACATCACTACAGGTATAGAGCTCTAGTATATAACAGTGTATTATATGCCAAACAAGGAAGATATCTAAGGACGAGTTCCTATAGAAACACAAAAAGAAGCAGGGACACATATGTGGGCACTACGTGTGTTTGCACTTGGGAACAGCAAGAACTATGGAAACTTAAAACCCAGCTGAACTTCTTGCAGATTACACAATATATCACAATAAAAGTCTTAGCTCAGTATCTATTACCAACAAATCATGTCTCTCATTAACAGAAAATACAAAGGTGGCCATTAGCAATAGAAGCAGAGGCTGAGAGTATACAGATTTTCAATTATCACAGAAGAAATTAAAGCAACCACGAATACTATGCTCATGAATCCAATTGATATATTACACAATAAAATCATGATATCACTGCAAGTAAACAGATGGAAGATGTAAATCAACATGAGCTCCACTTTTTAAAAAATGCTTCAAGAGAAAAATACTATAATACACAGTTGAACAAAGATGAAATAAATCATTGTCACTAGAAAGAGGAATAAAATGTACACTATGAAGAGACGGAGAGATAAAATTTTTTATTTGAAAAAAAGTTAATAGAAATAAAGAAAACTTGATGGGGTAATCAGTCAAGTCAACAACTGAGAAAATAATCAACCACCATTAATATTTGTCCATACAATATTTCCCAAACAGAGCAAAAAAGGGGTGATTGG